CTTGTTGTCTCGGATTCTCCAGCATCTGCAGTTCCTACTATCTCTGCCATTAGTCCCATTAGTTTTCCCAAGTTATTTTTTCCTCTAGTGATCATGATTGATTTATGTTCCTCCTTCCTTTGTGCCCCAGGCACAATTTTTCCCAAGATATTTGTTCAAGTCTGCCTTTTCCTTAAAAAAAAATTCATTCAGGAATGAGGGCATCACTGGCTAGGCCAGTATTTATCACCCATCCCAGATCATTTCCTTGTTTTTGTGTTATTAATTCCCCAGTCATACACTTTAAGGATCAATATCACTTTCACCACTCTTTTACTTTGGCCTGAAGTCCATAAGGAAAATAATGATCTGTGCATCCAATCAGCCTGTCCATTGCTACTCCAACTTTCTAAAAGCATTCACCCTCGTTTCAGAATATGGTTGATATTTTTGTTTGTTATTCTATACACTATTATAATATCAAATTTCTTCAATAGAGAAGTCTGTATCTAGTTTTGCAATTTATTGTGTGGATGGAATATACCAACAATAACAGAAGCAAAATCACAATAGAATAATGATCTGTTTGATTTTTGCCTTCTCTCTTCTTTTAGCTCTCCTCCCAGCATTTTTGCATTATTGTTATTCTTGCTTGCTTTCATTTGTGCCTGTCCTCTCATAGATATATTACCTCCAACACTTCTCCCACATATTACGTAATCTCCTAAATTGAACCTCAGGGCATGATGCGCAGTTTCCATCACTTTCGTTTGTATGTTCCTAATTGGCAAAGTCATCAAGGAGCATGGGATCAAACACACTGATACCTATCTCTAACGTTATACTTCCCCTTTCAAGTTTGACAGTAAGGGTGCATTTTCTGCCATCGAAATTAGGTGAGCTGTAACTTAGTTTAGAATAGGCTGAACTAATTAACCAGAGTTCATGAAAACCGTTAGATTCTTCCGTTTGTAATTTGCACCTCCGATTGGAAGCATAAAACTCAGCAATCTTCTAAAATTACCTAAATTCTGGAATCCTCCAGTGAGTTGAAGAATCACACATTTGACACTGCTTTTAGGAAGAGAGGGAGACGATATAAGGAAATTGTAGGTCACTTATTTAACATCTGTTATCGGGAAATTGCAGGAATGCATTATTTAGGAAGTACAGCTGGGGAAATTAGAAAATCATTGTAACTGTCAGACAGAGTCAATAAGGTTTTCAGTAAGGAAAATTTTATGTGAAAAATTTATTAGAGTTCTTTTACGGCTGTAAAAAAGCAAGGTGAATGAAAGAGAATGAGTAGACGTAGTGTATGTGGATTTCTGAAAGGTATTGATTAAGGTAGCACATTTTTAAAAAATTACTTGCAGAAGAGAAGAGCAGATAGTAATATGGCAGATTATTAACATAGCCTCTTTCTGCACAGTAGGGATTCTGTTAAGCCCATTGAGTCTACACTGATCATCTGAAGAGCATCTCACCCTATCCCTGTAACCCCGCATTTACCATGGCTAATGCAACTAACCTGTACAACCCTGGACACCACGGGGCAATTTAACATGACCAATCTACTTAACCTGCACAATCTTTGTATTGTGGGAGGAAACTGGAGCACCCAGCGGAAATCCATGCAGACGTCAAACGTGCAAACTCCACACAGACAGTTGCCCAAGGCTGGAATTGAACCCGTGTCTCTGATGCTGTGATGCAGCAGTGCAAACCACTGTGCTAGAAGAAGCAATAGGATAAATGGGTTATATTCAGGTTGGCAAACTGCAAATAGTGGAGGGCTATAGAGACTGCTGGAGTCTTGACAATCTATAATCCATATTAGTAAACTGGATGAAAGGATGTGCTATGCTGTAGTCAGTTTGCTCTTGAGACAAAACTGAGTAAGATAGAAAGTTGTGAGGAGTATACAAAGAGTCTGCAATGTGGTTTGGATATGTTAAGAAAGAGCCAAAATTTGTCAGATGAGTATAATGTGGAAAAATGATCAGGTTGCTCACTTTGACACACTGACTAGAAAAGCAGATGTTTCCTCTCATGGGAACATGTAGAACCAGTGGCCACAGTTTAAAACTAAAAGATCTGCCATTTAAGATTGAGATGAGAAATAATTTTTTTCTGACTATTGGTAATCTTTGGAGTTTTCTTCCACAGAGATGTGAAGGCCAAGTTGATTTGGATAGATTTTTAATTGACTAAGAAGTAAAGACTTTTTGTGGGCAAGGAAGGAAGTCAAGTCCACAATAAGATTCAGGATAAACAACTGTCCCAGATGATATGGGACCATCCCATAAGACCATAAGAAATAGGAATAGGAGTAGGCTATTTGGTCCCTCAAGCCTGCTCCACCATTCAGTAGTCATAGCTGATCCAACATTCCCCACATCCACTTTCCTGCCCTTTCTCTATAGTCCTTGATTCCCCTGCTGATAAGAATCTATTTATTTTGGCCTTAAATAGGCAAAATTGAGATGTTTGTCCCGAGTTCCAAGTTGCTTGCAGCCAGATTGCAGTTTCTCCTGTATTTCAGCCTTTAAATCTCATCCATGCGATTCTCCGGGCAGCCCGCTGTTAATGTGTGGGAAGAACCTCTCTTTCTTCTCTCTCTTTCCCACCCACTACTCCTGCTGCAACTTCTAAGAATCTTGGGATCCTCCCAGTACATTCAAATGGGGGCCAGACGCTCATAATGCACTCATCTCAGATTTTCACTAACATTAGCCAACTAATGACCAAAGGGTAGGCTGGCCATTGAGTTAAGATTGGAAGATGAACTCTGGAACCTAAAGGACAAATATGAGGTTCTCCAGATTACAAGTGGAACGATAATAGTTCTGCAAGTAAACGGGGATTGATGCACCTCAAAACTGCACCATCTGCTCACAACATTTTTAAATACAAGATGGATCCAGTAGCTGGGCCACTATTGTGGAAAATGAATTCCTTCAAATAGTGGCCTGAGGTTACAGCTGAAACCAGGTAAGCAGGGTGTCTGCTAACCCTGCCTAGAGCAACACAACTTCTCCCTGTACCCGACTCGCCCCCACCCAACCCCAAAAAAAAGCCCCAACCCCCAAACTCCTCCTGCCACTGGTAGGCCACAGCAGCAGTTGCAAAAGTTCCTTCCCCCACAGTCTGATTGTAAAATCTGTTAGGCCCCAACAATTGGCCTTAAGTAGTCATTACCTTTTATGTTATCATTACAGGAGATTTTTTTTCCCCATCAGTAATGAGTGAGTGTTTGCGTCTTGGTAATGTGTTCACATTTACATTGAAAATATCTCCTTCCAATTGAACACAATTTTCTGTTTGTTTATTGATGGACTTTTTAATGACTTATTTTCTGAACTGCATTCAGTAATTACTTAATAAAAAATGAGACTTTAATCCAACAGGGTTACATTAATTATTGATCAAGCTTTTACATTTTGAAATATGGTAAACAGTCAGTATTCATAGGGATGTATTTGCAGTTATGGACTAAATACATTTTGATTGTTTTAATTATTACTATATAGAAATAATTTAAGTATTCTAAATTTTTCACCCTTGAGATCAAGGCCATGCTTGTTTTTAGACTTTCCTACATTTTGGACTACTCCTTACCGAACACATGTGAACTCTCAGTAGATTGCTGGTCTTTCTTCAAATTGCACATTTTCAGTGAAAGTTTCAATCGACCACCCCACAAATGAGTTGAATATTGATAAATGGTGTCAAAGGTGCCTGCTGAATGCAAATAAATGCTGTAAGTGTGCGGCGCTCAGCATAAAACATCTTATTTCTGGATAGGCGAATTTGAGATAACATACCTGTATATTGAAGTTCATATCCTTCATTTTATTATTTGTATCATGCATTTATTGTTATGGTCCAGTTTTAATATAGTTGCCATTGTGCGAGTTAGACATTAACAAACCAAGTTACAGCAACAAAGATGTACAAGCCACACCTTTAACTATTTTTGAGTTGCTGTCATCAAATGGACATTAATTCCTACAGATCTGTATGCCAACTTCAATGAATGATGTGATGTACTTCAGTGCAATTAAATGTATGTTAATTGATTTGGGATGTTTCTGGAAAATGTGATGCATGCTTTTTAAATGCAGGTTCTTTCTCAATCAACCAATTTTAGATCGTGCTCTACATTTATCGTGAAGCACTCTGGTCTAGTGCGAGGAAAATCAGTTAATAGCAGTTCCTATTTCCATGGAAAATTGTCAGTGCTGGTGTTATCAGAATCCTCCTTCTATTTTCTAGTTACTTCTGTTTCAGTGTTTAACTCTGAATTCCAAGGTACCATTTTCTGGAATACTCCTGCCTAGGCTCATGCCCAGTAGGGCTCCGAGAGCTAGGGAGAAAAGTAAAACGAGCTAAACATAATTTCTATATACAACAGTGTTTAATTCATGTTTTCCCCTCATCTTAACCGGAAAAATAAAATTCCTGAAAGTTTGAATGAAGACCGGAGCTGTATTAGAATAGTTTTTGTTCTGAGACATGAAAAGTTGCTAAGAATGCCTTTCAGTAGCTGCTCACGTTTTTACTGTTGTTGCACAGACCCTAGTTAGTCGTCTCAAGGAAAACCTGGAAAAGCTGGGAGAAGAAAGAGATCAGAGGGCAGCTGCTGAAAATCGGGAAAAGGAGCAAAATAAGCGATTGCAACGGCAGCACAGGGATATAAAGGAGGAACTGGGAGAACTTAGCAAGAAGGAAGCTGAAGCCAGTCGGAAAAAACATGAGCTGGTATAGGAACGTTTATTCTATGTGACAACTGCTTGTTTATTTATTATTTATTCAATAGTAGAAAGAAGTGTAACTGAGCCTGTATTTGTGTAAAGAAATAATGATTACAAAGAAAGTACCATTTTTAAATAACTGTCAAAATGCTATGTCATTAGTAGTTTTAATATTTGAAGAACGTAAATTTTTAGCAATGCAGCTGTTGGAGTTTTACTATTAAACAATATTAACAAAGCTATAGGTTAACTGAGTTACTCCTAATCTGAAAAGGAAACAATTGTGTATTTACGCAAGTGCACATTATCTATTGCAGAGCTATCTCATGCAAGTTCTAGATAGTTCCCAGATATATTAGGTGACTGTACATTTACAGTCACTGAATCATGCAATTAAATGTACTGAAATTATATACATCAGAATTATTCCTTGTACTAAAAGGCACCATTACACTTTTTTTTTAAAAGAAAAAAAGCATTTGTAGGTGCTATCACCTTGCTAGGACTATTTTTTTTTTGGCTTGTAACATGATGGTAAGCTAGGATATCTCTCTTTTGGCTAAAGAGGGAATCGGCTGCCTCATCTAAATGGCAGTTTTTGATGTCAACCTAAATAATGAGTGAATTTGCATGACCCTACCTTGTTGATGATCAGAACTATGAAAAATGTAGAAACAAAAAAATAAGAGCAGGAGTAGGCCATTCAGCCATTGAACCTGCTCCCACACTTATTATGATCATGGCTGGTCATCCAACTCTGTATTTTGTTCCGATACCCTTTCATCCCTTTCATTCTAAGAAGGTTATTTAATACTTCCTTGAAATATTCAATATTTTAACTTCAGTGCTTTCTGTGGCTGAGAATTCCACAGGCTCATCTCTCTGGATAAAGAAATTTTTCCTCATCTCAGTCCCAAATGGCCTGTCTCATATCCTCAAACTGTGACAGTCATTCTGAACTGCTGGTCATCAGGAACATCCTTCTTGCATTTACCTTGTTTAGTCCTGTTAGAATTTTATAGGTTTCCATGAGGTCCCCTTCATTCTTCTAAATTACAGTGAATATGGTCCTAACCGATCAAGTCAGTCTTCATATGTCAACCCTGCCATCCCAGAAATTAGTCTAGTAAACCTTAGTTGTACTGTTTCCATAGCCAAAACATCCTTCCTCAGATGAGACCACGACAGCACACAATACTTCATGTATGATTTCACCAAGATCCTGTACAATTGGAGCAAGGCTTCCCTGCTCCTGTAATTGAATCTTTTCGCTATGAAGGTCAACATACCATTTGCCTTCTTCATTCCTGCTACACTTGCATGCTTACTTTCAGTGTCTGAAGTACAAGGCCACCCAGGTTTCATTGCGCACCTCCTTTTCTCAATCTATCGCCATACAGATAATAATCTGCCTGTCTGTTTTTGCTAACCTCACATTTATTCGCAATATACTTCAAATGCCATGAACCCCAAGCCCTGTCATGTTCATGTGCACTTTTGAACAGAGACTTATAGGTAGTAAGTAGGAAGGATTGTAAGTTTTTCCTTATTTGAAGACATTTTATCAATCCATCACTTGGGTTTCTTTCATAGGAAATGGATATTGAAAGCCTTGAAGCTGCAAATCAGAGCCTACAGTCTGACCTTAAACTTGCTTTTAAAAGAATTGGAGATTTGCAAGCAGCAATTGAAGATGAAATGGAAAGTGATGAAAACGAAGATCTTATCAACAGGTATCTTGTCTATCTCGGGCGTGATTTGAAGTTTTGTTTTTCACAATTTTGTTTTCATATCTACCTAGACAAACGTTGTATCAAAGATGTAAACAGCATAAAAAATATCACCCTTCTGCAATTGCCTGCTATGACATTTTGGGCAGACTTTAGTTTTAACACCTATACGCAATATCTTTAGCCTCAGAACAATATTTTGGACAACTTTTCAATCTTGTTTGGCTGCATGATAAAAACATTTCTCACGTTTAAAATTTCAAGCAAAACTATAAGCTCAGTTTCTAGTAGCAGTGTTGTGCTGCAATATTTCATTGTGTTGCTATGTGAAGTTCAGGAAATAGTTTTCAGTAGTGTACATAAGTGCTAATAATTTAGTCAATATATAGAAAAAGTGCCTTAGAAATTCGTATGTATTTTGTTTTAACAAAAATCTAATTAGTTAGCTTGGCTTTTTTTAAAAATTTGTTTTAACTTTAAATTTTAGATGTGCACAATCAATATACCTTTTAAAACAAAGGCAGTTTCATTTGAGCCACTGTTCGTGGAATGTTTGTCTTCATTTCCTTTTTATATTTGTCAATTTATTTGCAATAGCGTTTTCTTGTGTACATTATTCATGTGTATCAAGTTATCTCCCCTTCTGCACCCCAGAATTGTTTATTTTTGGGCATTTTGTGCTTACTTTTATTTACAGTTTGCAAGATATGGTGGCAAAGTATCAGAGAAGAAAGAATAAAATGTGAGAACTCTAAGTGAATGACTTCAAACATATCCAAATCTAACCCAAGCATGATGTTAACTTTGTTTCCTACTTGCATGACATTAGATTTAAAGCAGAAGAGTGCACGTGTGTATGAATCAAAACAATTCTACCAAATGAGATGCCTACCCTTTTCAAGAAGTAGTATTATTTAGGCTAATTTATTTGGGTTATTCAATACAATAATTGTCAATATCAAGGACATCAGCTTGTGAAAAACGATAGAACAACAAAGTTCAATGTACTTCTAATGGTGATCCAAAAAGTATCTGTTCTGTGAACAATTTTAAAGCCAATATAAAACACTTTGTATACTTTATTATAATTATATCATGTTTAGTGGGTTATCAACAAGAACACAATTGAGTGCATCAATTAAATTTTCCTAACAGTGCTCGTAACTAAGTTTAAAACTGCAGTAACTAATAGGAATTTCATTGCCATTATACATATCCAGGCAAATAAATTGTATTTACGTAGTAGATATAGTTTTACAGTAGTTAATATAATTTCACATTCTTTTCTTTTATGCACTAGACATGGCCATAGAGTCATACAGTATGGAAACAAGCCTTTTGCTCCAACTGGTCCACGCTGACCATGTCCCCAAACTCAACTAGTCCCATCTGCCCTCATTTGGCCCATATCCTTCCAAAATTTTCCTATTTATGTACTTATCCAAATGTTTCTTAAACTTTGTAACTGCACCTGCATCTACCACTTCCTATGGCAGTTCATTCCCCACACAAACCACGCTCTCTGTGTTTAAAATAAAGTTGCCTCTCATGTCCTTTTCAAATCTCCTCACCTTAAAAATATGCCCCTTAGTTTTTAACTCCCCCATCTTAGAGAAAAGACCTTTTGCTATTCACCTTATCTATGCCTGTCATGATTTTCTAAACCTCTTTAAGATCACCCCTCAATCTCCTGTGCTCCATGAAAAAAATTCCCAGCCTATTTTTATAACTCAAACCCTCCATTCCCAGCAACTTCCCCATAAAGATTTTCTGAACCCTCTCCACGTTAATAATATCCTTCTTATAACAGGGTGACCAGAATTGTGGGATAGTAAGAACTGCAGCTGCTGGAGTCAGAGATAACACAGTGTGGAGCTGGAGGAACACAGCAGGCCAGGCAGCATGAGAGGAGCAGGAAAGTTGACGTTTCGGGTCGGGACCCTTCTTCAGAAAATTGTTCAGAAAACTGTTGACCAGAATTGTGGTTCATGTGTGGAATGAACTTCCACAGGAAGTGGTGGATGCGGGTACAGTTATAATGTCTAAAAGACATTTTGGATAAGAAATGTTTGGAGGGATATAAGCCAAGGGCAGGCAGGTAGGTAGGACTAGTTTAGTTTGGAATTATGGTTGGCATGGACTGGTTGGACCGAAGGGTTTGTTTCCGTTCTCTAGACTCTAACTTCACACAGTCCTCCAGAAGAGGCCTAACCACCATCCTGTACAACTTCAAAATGATGTCCCAACTCCTATACTCAAAGGTCTGAACAATGAAGGCAAGCATGCCAAATGACTTCTTAACCACCCTATAACTTTGAAAGAATTGTGTATCTGAACCCCTAGGTCTTTCTGTTCTACAGTACTACCCAGGCCACTACCATTAATTGAATAAGTCTTCCCTTGTTTGTCTTACCAAAATGCAATACCTTGCACTTATCCAAATTAGACTCCATCTGCCAGCCCTCAGCCCATTGACCCAATTGATTAAGATCTGTTTGTAATCTTAGATCATCTTCTTCAGTGTCCACTATACCACCAAATTTTGGTGTCATCTGCAAATTTACTAACCATGCCTTCTATATTTTTATCCAAATTATTTATATAAATGACAGGCTCATCCTTCATTGGATTAAGTGCCCCAGTTAAGTGTCAACCACATTGCTGGTGGTCTGGAGTCTTATGTAGGGCAGACCAGGTAAGGATGACAGTTACTTTCCCTAAGGCTTGTAAGCAAACCCGATGTCTTTTACCAGCAAATGACAATGGTTTCATGGTCATCGTTACACTCTTAATTCCAGATTTTTTTTTATTATTGAGTTCAAATCCCACCATCTGCCATGGCAAAATTTGAACCTGAGTCCCCAGAACATTACCTGGGACCATTGCACTGGATTACTAATCCAGTGTCAATATTGTCTATTCCACAAGACCATTGTCTCCCTATGGAGCTACTGATTTCATTTTTTTACTAATTGCAGTGTAATTTTAAAGATGAAAAAATTAACTACAAAGACCTGAACTAAATATGGTAGTTCATCAGATTTTTGTTTTACTCAGTCTGTTTCTGTTATGACACAACTCCGTGTTCATCACATACCGAGGTAGGTCATAAACCTGGACTTTCTGCCGAGGGGCACTACTATTATGCAACAAGACCTTTAGAAATTACCTGTTGTTGTATTATGTACCTTTTTAAAAATGGATTGTGGGAATTAGGTAACTGAATAGATGAAGAACTGGCTTTTTCTTCCTTGTAACTTGCATTTAAATTTAGCCCATTTTGATGTGATAGAAGTTTTCTGTCTGCTGTCAGTAAAGATCCTATGTGGAAAGAGTTTAGGTAGTCTCAATAAATTTCTTGGTGGGCATGAGCATGTAGCACAAAATAATATGGCTAATGGGGAAGAATTTTCAAATTGGTCTTAGTAAGGGATCTGTCCTATACTTGACTTAGTGCTGGTGCTCAATACCTGAAATGGAAACCATTGTTCTTCCCAAAATGAACACCTTTCACCTTGATCACAAGAAAATGTTTTAGAATAACCTTTTACATGTTCAGGTCAGTGAAAATGGATTAAAACTTTCCTTTTTGTCCAGAAAGCTGATGCAATTATTGCATAATGCTCCATTAATATATGAAGAAAATATCTTCTGATTTTGTTCACATAAACTTGAAAAATGAAACAAAACAAAGTACTTAGCTCATTTCCAACAACATACTTTCACGTTATGTCTTTATTGTGCAATAGAAATTTTACTCCTTCCAAAGCACAGCTTATTTAACGTGCATTGTACTCAACCTTTTTTTCCCTTGGGTGTGCACTTTCCATTTATGGTTGTAGTGATAAAAGTAGCCTACCAATCTCTTCGATTCAACTTTCTGAAGATGCGACGCAATTGGAACATAATAACATGCCACAGACAAAATTTATTTTCTTGCTGCCTGTGATCAATGTATTTTGTATGTTAGATATTTCTTTCTGTCAGGATAGTTGTCCCAATTTTAAGAATTCCAACAGCATGTTTTTCTGTGAGTTTTAAACTAAAGAAAGTTATATACTATCTCACATTTGCCTCAGAGGTTTGAAAATGTATCATCACTAATGCAACCCATACATCCTTTCAGTCACCCCCAAAACGAGGTACAGATTAAGAAGAAAGTAATATAAGTAGAGCTCATAATTTTCTCAGACTTATCTGGAGCTAGCCTGTAGTTTCTTAGATGATTTGCTCCTTTGGTTAGAGTGAAGGTCTTGAAAAGCAGTGCATTCTCACCAAACTGTGAAGCTGTCATTGAATTATACAGTTGTAGTTAACTACATGACATTCGAAGGTTTGGAAGCTAAGTAAATGCAGAGGAGTATCACTTGTAATCAAAGATGGTATCGATGCGATAGTATTACGAAATTGGGTGAAGTGGTTGTGAAGTGGAAGGCAGGAAGCTATAATGTATGGTTCCTTCAAGAGATTTGTGCTTTGTCTGTAGTTACAAATTTTTAAAAAAAGTATGTCTGTGAGCAGCACTGAAGTTGCTAGTACAGAGAGCCTCAAAAAGTGAAACAACTGCATTGGGAAAAAAGCCTTACAGGTGGCAGGCAAAACAGCAGTCTTGTTCTGATGTTGTGACAATGAGTTTGAATTTGACCAATTAACTTAAAACCAAACTCAGCGATTCAAAGCCAATTGAATGTAAATCTGATGGTGTTGACAACCTGAAACCAATCATATTATAAGAATTTGATTATGTCAATATGGGGATATAAGACGAGGGCATTTGGAAAATCGGAGAGAGCCAACTGCCATCTGAGAATCTGCCGTCAGCCAGTTGTCAGAGAAGGCCCATCTAATTAATCGAAGGTACCATGGTAGTTTAGCTCAAAGTCCTCAATGAAGAAATTATAGAGATAAAACATCCCTGACATCCCAGAATTAGCGGAAGAAAGATGTTTGTGAAGAGACTGGAGACGACAATATTCCAGAAGACAGTCTGTGCGAATTTGGAGAGATTAAGTTATAATTTATTGCTTCTTATTAATTGGGTTCATATTAAGGGGACTTGTCTTTATTAAACAGCATTCCAGTAGAATTTAGAACAGTTAGAGAGCAGTTAGTAGTTTAAGCGGGAATTGTCGGTTTGTTAGTAATTTTGTTAATTTGTTCATTGTTAGGTTAAATAAATTGTTTCATGTTACTTGTAAAGTGGTGATCAGGGATGTTCTTTCTTTTAACCACTCTTGTAATAGATTGCGAGGGGAAAGATGAGCTTCTCTGGGTGTTTCAGGGGTAATCATTAGAGTGGAACCCCTAATCCCCTCAAAAAAGATTGGGGCTTGTGTTTTAGTTTAATTGTCAGAGGGGTTAGGCCATTGCCTTTCATAACAAAAATTGGGGGTTCAAGTCCTGGATCTGGACTGATTTAGACAGATCCAGTCTGGTATTTGGACAGTTCATGTACAGGATCTGAATGGACTTGGACAGATTCAAACAGACTTGGAGATTAGTGTCCTAGATCTTTAAGTAAAACTTAAATGAGAAAAATCTGTTTAATTTTGGTTACTCATGGTAGGTTAAATTAAAAGTGAGGGAAATGGCTTTTAACATTGCTAAAGAAGTTTTGGGGTTTGAAGATGCTTCCCAAATTTCCCAAGAAAGTTTAGAAAAGCAGAGGAAGGATATTCTATTAGAATTAGCAAGCAGATTAGAATTGAGTTTAACTCTGGATGAAAGGAAAGCTGAAATCGT